GGTTTTTTTTTTGGGGGGGGGGGGGGAATAACGTATTGTTGCCAACATCGTTATTGACCATTTATATTAGTTATTGTAAACATTATTTACATAACATAATGAGTGGGTCCAGAGTGTATTATCGACATGAAAATAAAAACAAAAAAGCTAATACAAACCAAATACCCTTGACATAAACTCCAACTCCTGATTCCGTAGTCACGGTTTATATATATAAAACAGGGCTGCACCGGTTACCCCGAAATGCCGAGTATTACACACCCAGAGAGAATACTTAGACAAAAGAATTTTTTTTACTAGGCTAAGCCCTAAATATAATAACAAAACAGAAGGAACCCTTAGCGTTCCAATCAATAAGCGCTGTGCGTCTCATAATGACACATTGTAATGCAGGTACACAGTTGTACCCTGCACAGGTCTTCCACACTAAAGCGTGACTACCGACTTGAAAGTCACGAAAACTTCCCGGCCCCAGTGTTGTGGTTCAACTACTTTGCATTCTATACAAACTAGATAACAATTAAAGCAACTGGACGTCTATGGGAACCACCAAGATACTTGCTCACATAGGCGCCCGCAGAAAACTTTCTAGGGGGGTTGGGGGGGAGGCAAAAAATCGATTAACTTTCCAGGGGGAGGCAAACATTTTTTAGTACGGTAATGTTTTAATATAGTTTTAATTTACTGTAGCATATTTCTATGGTGAACGAACGGACATCAGCTTAGTTACTTTCTCTTTATTTTCTCTTTACTTTAATAAATTGTTTGTCAATTTTTTGTCTAAATTTTTTTATCCAATCAATCGGGGGGAGGGGGGGCAAGTGCCCCCCCCTTGCCCTACCTGCGGGCGCCCATGCTTGCTCATGTCTGCTTTTAAGGGGGGGGGTCTTTGTGTAGATAATGAAAGGAACATATATAACACATAGATCTACATATATTACATATTCAACAAAAAGTTATCTTTCATTCTCATGCCGTCCCCCCCTCCCCCCACATATTGAAAGACTGTGTCATGAACATTTTTGTATATACATCTCTAAAGACGTACTTTTTATTTAACGAAATACAAAATTTGTGGATTAATTTCATAAAATAATCGAGCTTAGCTTTCTATTTCTTGTCATTTATTCATTTGTCATGTGGGCCGTGGAAGGCTCTTAGCCGAAACGTTCTTCTTTTATTGTCCCGTCTTTTCTATTTCAAGCTTCTACATTCCCTGTTCTACTAATTTTCTGAGCTAACGTAGCGCATGACATACGCAGTTGTTAACTGTGAACGAAAAATCAAGACCCGAGTATTCTTTAAAAGACCGCCATGAGATTAGGGAACAAAACTTGCATGGCCACACGCTGCGATATATTGTCCGTTACATGAAAAACATTGCTACCTCACAAAATACTACCCTTAAGTAATTTAATCTTACAGCACAACAGATAACGTTATATGTTACAAAGCAACTCATTACGACGCAAAATCTGAAATGGGCTAAGCATAGTAGTTCAATGACAATCCAATAGCTACACAACAACACGACAGTTAAGATACCGTACATTGAAACAATTCGTTGCCTCTATACATCTGTCTGTATTGTCAGAATCAAAACATCTGCCCGCGCCTGGGTTGATCCAGATTTCTAATGAACTTCACACACCTGCCTCTACACACAGACCCCTTTTTCAGCCCCCCCCCCACAAGTCCACACAGATCACAAAAGAGTGACCGACCCCATGGTGTGAGCACCCCATTGTGTGCCGTCACTACAAGCGTCTGGCCGTGTCCAGTGAGTCCAGCCTGCAAACCACGAGTCCACGTCCACTCCGTCCAGGCTGATTGTCTGCTCACGTCCACTTCGTGTATTCTTGGGGCCGTTCAAATGACGACTTGGGGATCCTGGTAATTAACTATCCATCCGACGCTGTCGAAACTGGTCAAAATCAGAGATCCTCA